CCCTGGTGGCGGCATCTGTTGCTTTTCCTTCTAGATTTTTTTTTTCGTTTGGCATGTACATCCACGTGAAAGGTAAAAAAATATCTTTGACCAGCAGGTCAGTGGAGGCAGGACAGAATGTACATTTATGTTTCTATTTTTGTCTAAATTTTTCTATTTTCTTACTAAAGGAAGCAGGGCAAAAATAACTCTTTGCTGAGTAGAATGATAATAAAAAAGAATAGAAAAAAATAACAGATTTCTTTTTGTCCATGTCTAATGCCAGTGAAACTATGGAAAGGGATGTATTTTCACAATGGTTATACTGTAAAAGGCCTAATAAGGAATATGTTTCAAGTTCAATTGTTAATCGTTTTTGTAGAATCTGTAACATGCTGTCGATTACCAGGCAAAATCATTTTGATTCTCCCAACAGTTTCTGAAAACAAACAAAATTTTGATTTTTTTTAACCCTTTCAAAAACATTTTACACAATTACCATAACTATCTGCATGTGTGATATGTTACTCTGCCAGATGAAATGACAAGTCAAAACTATTGTCTGTTTTAGTAGAGCACTAGACTGCTGATTACATACTTCTGAAGGCCACCCTGGTATATCATGGCTTTTGGATTATTGCAGAAAAGAAGCACTGTGCCCAACAAAAGTTTTGTTTTGTTTTGTTCATCATGATACATTTCACCAAAATACAACCGTCAGAAATAAAAAGCTAATTGTAGGCTATTACCCAACTACACCAAGGTCACATGACTGAGACGTCACCCTCAGTAAGCTTCTGACAACTTTTACAAACTGTATTTTAAAAACATTTTCTTTGAATGTTTGAGTTTGAATAAAAGTGGTGGACTAGTAGTTAGATGAATTTACCTGTGCGGTTTGACATTTAGTCATTTGTTAGCAACCTCCTTTTTCAAGACAAACTAAATCACAAGAGGGTATTACTTACCCTTATGAAAATTAACCATGGTTTTACCACAAATAAAACCAAAAAAACATGCTTACTATAGTTAAACCATGCAAATTAACTATAGTTTAACCACAGTATTTGTAGTAAAACTGTGGTTATACAAATGGTAATCAATACGCCAAAAAAACATGGTTACTCTACTTTTACTACAAATAAAAACATGGTTAATTTTTATAAGGGTATGTATTTTATATTGTAAAATAAAGCATGAAATATCTTGAGCTTGTGTTCACCACAGACCTTATTTCAGGCATTTAATAAAAAATACATTGACTTTAGGACAATGCTGACTTATTTCAAGGGTTTGACTTACAAAAATACATCATCCCTGCAGCACTGTATTAGCATGCAACAAACTAGATTTGAACTCTGAACATTCCTTAAAGTCAAAAAGCATTTCCGACCCATTTAACTTGTAATGTAACATTATTTTGGAGTGAAACAGGATATTGTATGATGGATTTATATTTTATCTGTCCAATTCATTTAAACGGATTGTTCACAAAATGAAAATAAAATGAATTATCATTCATATTGATGAATCATTATTCACCCTTAAGTTGTTCCAAACCTTTTTTCTTCTTCTGCTGAACACAAAAGAAATTATGAAGAGTGTGGGTAACCAAACAGTTGCTGGTCCCCATTGACTTCTACAATATGAAAAAATAAATAGGCCTAAATAAAAATACCATGGAAGTCAATGGGGACCAGAAAGTGTTTGGTTACCCTCATTCTTCAAAATATCTTCTTTTGTGTTCAGCAGAACTCATACAGATTTGGCACAACTTGAGGGCGAGTAAATGATGACAGAATGTTCATTTTTGGGTGAAAAAAAGTCTCTTCTCTTTAATTGTTTATTTTTTGCTATTAATTCAATTCAAGTTTCAATTCAAGTTTATTTGTACAGCGCTTTTCACGATACAAATCATTGCAAAGCAACTTTACAGCAAATTAAGTTTCTACAATATTTAGTGGTAGTTTATCAGTGGTGACTGTCAGTTCATGTACATATGGCAGAAATGTACGGAAAAATCAATTAAAGACGTAATCAAACAGATGATGAACACTATTAACAGCAATTATTATATGATGCAATCAAACTTATAGCAAAATGTGGTAGTTCTGTATGTTGTTTCAGGGTTGGCATCATCTGAGGTCCTCTGAGGGGTTGCATCATCTCTTCTCAGGTGTTCTGGATCCAGACTGAAGCTTGTGTAAATCCTAGTTACCACGGGATGTTAATCCCATGGCAAAAACAGAGAAACAAATAGAGACAAAATTAGTATAGCTGCTGTTCCAACCAAGGAAAATGTATTTGTTTAACCCAAGCTAAAGAATAATAATGTGCATTTGATCAGATATAACTGCAGTACAAGATTATGAGATGCATTATTTGAATGCTTGGCCAAAGAGATGTGTCTTTAATCTAGATTTAAACAGAAAGAGTGTGTCTGAACCCCGAACGGTATCAGGAAGGCTATTCCAGAGTTTGGGAGCCAAATGCGAAAAAGCTCTACCTCCTTTAGTGAACTTTGTAACATGGGAAATATGATTTTCAAAAGACAAGTTGCTATCTAATATAACACCCAGATTTTTGACTGTAGAGGAAGTAACAGTACATCCGTCTAGTTGCAAATTGTAATCCAAGAGATTCTGTGTACTGTCTTTTAGACAGACTATTAGACAGGGGAAAAGTCTGAGTGACAGGTGTTTTTTCAGAGGGTGATCAAGTTATTATTTTTTTGATGAAACCAAACATGTGCTTTGGAAAAGAACTTTTCTGATTCCATGTGTACTTTGGTACACACCATCTGGTGCGCCTTCTTCTTCTTCTTCTTGTACGATTTTATGGCTGTTGACAAGCCAACTTATGGTGTATTACCGTCACCAACTGTACTGGAGTGTGAAGCATTAACGGGAAAGAGGGAAAAAGGAACCCCAAAAACAAAAAAAAAACAAACAAAAAAAAAAACAACCGGTAGTATTATTATGACATTTAAATTCTACTTTCTAATCCTGTTATCTTCAGATAACTAAGAATTTCTCTCATATTACTTGTCTGTCCCGAGGCACAACTTAAAAGATTTGATATAGTGAAATTAATTACGCCTATGTTTCTCAGTTTCTTAAATAACTCCTCTCTTTCTTTGGTATATACTGCACAATGTACATGCTCAATAGTCTCTGCTTTACTGCATGTAGTACACAATCCTGACTGATGTTTCCCTGTTGTGAATAATGAATGATTTAAACCAGAATGTCCTATTCGAAGCCGAGTAATTATTATGTCTTCTTTTCTATTGTTAAAGCATACTCTCCCTTTGCCAACTTGTTTTTGGATATTATATAGGTGTCTGCCCTTTAAATCCTTGTCCCACATTTCCTGCCACTTTTTATTCATGTGTTCTTTAATTCTTCCTTTTATTTCTACTTTACTCAGTGGAATTTGTACCTCAACGTTCATATGTTTTATGGCTTGTTTGGCCAGTTTATCAACTATTTCATTTCCTAGTACTCCTACATGTGCAGGTACCCATAAGAACCTCAGGACTATACCAATTTCCTGAATCCTAAGCAGATTTATAAGTATTTCATAGATGAAATCCTTTCTTGACATTGATTGTTCACTTATTAAACTATTTAAAGCAGACAAGGAATCTGTACAAATGACTACCCTCGTAGGCTTAACTTCCTCCACCCATTAAATAGCTAATAAAATTGCTATTAGCTCTGTTGTAAAGACTGATACAAAATTAGTTATCCTTTTCTGAATGTTGACTTGTAATCTTTGGATATATACAGGTCAGTCATTCTTGAGACATGGGACAAAACGGGTCCAGCAAGGGTAACTGCTATCAGGTTTAAAAATACAAATATTTTCAATTTTAAATGTCATGAGGGATTAATAATAGAATGTATTTAACACAATTATCACCTTCAATTTATTTTTCTCATTATTATAGCAAATCTGTGTTTCTTAATGTCCTCTCACTACATCTAAAACAGTGTGTCCACAGAGAAGGGTTCAATCATTCATATGCAATAAAATGGATAAAAATGTTTTTTTAATGATGAAAAAGAGCTTGTTTCATCAAAAGCAACACTTAGTAATATCTCCTATCAAAGCAAGGTTGTTTTTCTGTGACACATGCATGTTTCATAAGATTTTAAAGTTGCGTCCCCACTTTTGGTCAACACCGTCAGACATTCAATAAAATGTAATAAAATCAGGGAATATCAGCTGTCACTCTAAAGGACCCCCTCGCCACAGTTCACCT